ACTTTCTTGCTTTGAGTCAACAAAGCTTCTTCTTCACCTTCGGTATTTTCGCCAAGGGTTCCTGAACATGCCGAAAGTATAGCCTTGTGAACCCCAACTGCTCCTCTTTCTTTTGGCTCTCCCGCGCCGAGAAAGATATTGTTTTCTTTTCCGTCTCTAGATATGGCCTTAGCCATTAAATATATCTTATCTATCTGCGTTCTATCAACCGATCCGTCACATCTTAAGGAGATGGCCAACGAGTTTGACATCTTTGAAGCAAGTGAATTTCTATCTGTCTTTACAATGCATTTGAGGAATTCGCTGTGTGCGTTTGGTGAAAGGTATTGGAGATCATTAGGTATGTCGTTTATACTCCAATCATCAAAAGAAAACGCATTTGCTATTCGGCTTACAACCACACGTGAAGGGAAAGAATTGGCAGACAAAGTAAGTCTCTTAGCACCATGGTAAACGTGAAAAAAATAAGCTAGCAACTTTCGCAGCCAATTGTGCATCTGCGATCGATAATGCCCTTCCAATTGGTGTCAATGACGTCATATGAAGCTTTTCCGGTCCTTTCAAAGACAACAATCTCTTTGTCTTTTTTGCTTCGCGATGAATTTCGCTGTTCAGATGGTCGGAAACGACGCTTTTACGGTATATAGTCCCCGGTTCTTGAGCAATCGCTGGAAGTTTAGCTTTCCTGCTGAAAATCTTGACGACATTGGGGTTCGAAAACCATGTCTCACAACGCACATAGTGGCGACCATTCTTGTGTAAGTGTTTCAGATTATCCTCTTTTGGCTCTTTAGTGTTTTTCTCTGATGTCTTTGCAGTTTCACTTGGTCCTTGATCCTCATTATTCATTATTATTAAATGTTAAGTTTACTTCGCGTCGGATGTTTTTTCAATGTTGAAAAAGTTAAAAAGGCGCGAACAATTCTGCGCCTTTGTATTTACGTGTCAGCAGCTTACCACGGGAATCCTGTCTAATCCAATCTAATCACAACCAGCTGTACACATATATCCTATTTATACTTGTAATATCCCATTGATTCCCTCTAAAACAAACATGGCGGTGAAAAGTGGCTCAAGAAAATTAATACAGGATTACAAATCCGAAATATTCACAGGAGGCCCGGGCGCGGGCAAATCGAGCCTGGGCCTCCTGTGAAATATTTAATAAAGCGAACGTAGAATATGTGTATCGGCGTAAAACGAATGGAATTTGAAACAGTGGTGTTCACTGGAATTCAGAAATAACGCTATATTTCCTGCTTGATCGGATAAGGTAGCTGGTGAATTTTTATAGAATTATAGTATAAATATATTTATTTGTTGACATCTCAATCATTGAGGATATTTTATGCGAAATTATTTCTTCATTCTTGATTCTTCGGCGCCTCGCATTCTTGATTTATTGGGTTATAAATAGTTGTCTTAAGTTGAGTGAACTGACTATTATATAGTTTTATGTACTTTATCTACCATTATTAACAAAAACTAATTAAATTACTGCATTTGTCAATAACTGGCATTTATTTTGTTTATTATATTTTAATAACTTTCCATCAATGATTTATAATAACAAGTTTACAAATTTAAGCTGCCAGTTGTATTGTTACCCAAGATCCGACATTATTGACCTTGTTGAAACCATTGCCATTGGGTATGCCGCAAAGATAAAATGTGCAGTTCTAAATTTTTCTTAAAAAAAACCCTGCTTGTGCCATTAGCATTACTTTACACCATAAAGTGATATCTTGACCTATAGAGGTACTTACTCAGTTGTGCCATAGTATTGTTAATCTTCATGAGACAAAATCACTTTCAACTTCCATATGAGATCTAGTTATACCTCTACTAATCTAGTAGATTTAAAACGAAGGTGTTAAAGACATATCTGTACAATGGCAAAATGAATTATAAATGGTACAGTGCAACAAAATACAGTATATGCACAGTACTTTGCACTATGACCCATACTGTCATGTCGTCCATCCCCAGCAATGGCTATTTCTCTGTATCCTTTTACTTTCTCCACCAATGCAGCCTGGTACTTCTTCCAGTGAAGATAAATTGATGGGAACAACTTTTCCTACAAAATATATAACATTATGTAGCATACAAATATAATGTGCTGAAATGCATAGGCATAGCTGCCCCCCAGATTGTTAGGCAGACTAAGCCAGTCGGGCAATATTTGCTTCACAGTCAGTCGGGCAATATTGGCTTATTATGAAAATATATAGGAGAAATTCCCTCAATATTGGGGGAAATACAGTATTTCATATAATAGTTGAAAATTTCATCTACCCCCCCCCCCCCATCAACAATTTTGGAAAGGTTGCATGGAAAAATTTGTTTGACAAGTTAGGCATAATGGGAAAAATTTTTTCCTTCCTGTATGCCTATGCCCAAATGCATCATGTTTACTAATTGGAGACAGTTTACTCGTTTCCATAGAGTTTCCCTAAACATAAGCTAAACACATAATTTTGAAACGTACACGTTGATATTTGAAGAAAGTTGTCAAAGAGACACATGTCATTCCCATATGTTTGATGTGCCTGCGACAAGTATCCCAAAAGCAAGCAACAAGTTACCAGCTGCAATTTTCGTCCCAGGGAAATAGGGTTGACTGAACCAAGTTGTTCGTTCCCCACAATCAGGGTTGACACATGTTGTTTTAACCTCGGCCATTGTCCCATGTGAATTCACTTCAACCAATGTCCTGTCACTTTTGCACATACGGCAGATTTGAAAGAGCGTCAATAATTGCGAAAAGAATACAATGAACTTCGGCTCTGTTCTCAGATTGTATTCCTTCATGGGAACCCTGACATATTTATTTAAAAATACTGCTGATGGACAATGAAGCAAGGAGGCACATCATTCAGTTCTACTTAATTGAATTGTTTTGTTGATAAACAAACTAGAGTAACCCTTGGAACTAGTACAAATTAGTCTGGAGGAGAAGCGTTGGGTCATTATAAGTTGCTGTAATTGTATGGTAATTAACTTGTTAGCTGGCAATGATCCCAAATGCACACTACTTTAGTATTTTAGGCTGTCTAATGCCAGATGACTTTACTCATCAGCACTTGGTGGATTACTGCCAATTAATGAGTTACAAAAACCAGAAAGTATTTTCATTGTTTTTACCTATGTGGAGGCACACTGATGTCTTCGTCACTCTCAGTATCTGCTGTGTCTGTCGAAAATGAAGACTGTTTTCTATTAATATGTAAATAATCTCGCTCACAAATGCTTCGATAACTGTATCTCGATGTATTCGTCCCAATCTCGTGTTCACAGAGAGAGCTAAGAGCTAAGTATCTGATCTCTATAATTGTATGCACTAATGACCACTACTGATCTCAATAATTGTCTAATGTTTTTTACACACTCCCCCATATCTCTTTGAAGAAGAGAAATGTCAACAAAAAAAATGCTAAATGTCAATAATAAGGATTGTCTAGTTAAGGAAGTTCGTCCTGAAATAACCAGGATGCAACTAAAGTTCATCTTCGCTATCTGCAGTAATGTTCCTCATTCTTTCTTCAGCTTTCAAGGCTGCAGCTCTGCGGGGTCGGAAAGGTTGTACACTGGGATCCAAGCTTTTCGTAGGAGTAGTGGAAACACAGGGTGCTTTGTCACATGAAAGTTCCATAGGGTATAAAAACTGGATAGCACGTTCAATGACACTCTTTCCAGTACGCACCTTTGCTCCCCATATACCATCCATCTTTACCGACAATCAACTTCTCAATAATCCCAAGGGGCCAGTGATTCCTGTTTCTTTCGACAGACTTGATGATTACCACATCACCTTCAGCTATGATACTCCCTGTCCCACCTGATTTTAACCGATGCTGCTCACATAGTGCGCGCAGATACTCAGACGTCCACCGCTTCCACATTGCTCGTTTACACCACAGGAGGAATTTCGCTCGTTTCTTTAAATCCTTTTGTTCTAAATGATAGGGCGCTAACTCGGGTAAGATGTTGGTATTGAGGAACAGCAACGAATTGGGTGTTAGCGAGGGTAACTGGATGTCTTCCTCCATATAAGTTAGCGGTCTGTTGTTGAGGGTGACCTCTACATCAAGAAGTACTTCGGTTAATTCTGCCCATGAGAGTAAGCCTTGTCCAACAACTTTGTAGAAAGCAGATTTCATTAGGCCAATCAGCCGTTCAAATTGGCCGCCCCACCACGGGGTGCGGCTGAGGTTAAACTGCCAAACTATTGAATGTCCCACAAGAAACTCGTTGAAACTCTCATCTCTCTGGATCTTTTCTACCCATTTAGCCGCTGCGACAAAGGTTTTGGCGTTATCGGAATAAATCTTGGAGGGTCTGCCACTGCCACATCTTGCAATTAGTCGCTTTAAACTTTGAATAAATTCACCAACTTCTAAGGAGCTCAGTAATTCAAGGAACACAGCGCGGGTGAGGCTACATGAATACAGGACCACATAAGCTTTGTCTTCCTTGTTTCGTTGTCTACGATATGTTATGGGCCCAGCAAAATCAACACCAATGACATCAAAGGCAGTACTTCCTTGTGTGCGATCTGTGGGTAGTGGTGCCATAGGTGGGTTAGGAAAAGGTGTTGCATGGAATCTTTTACAACCCCAACAAGATTTAAGTACACGTTTCGTCAGCTTGCGTAATCAGGGAATCCAAAATTTTTGTCGAATCTCAGCCATAGTCAAGATGATTCCACCATGTAACGTTGTTTCGTGGGCTTTCGCCACTAATTTTTCTGCAAGTAAGGTCGAGTCCGAAATGAACACAGGATACTCTCCTACAAGACGTCCTTTGCATACGAGGATCTCATCACAATTATTGACCAAGTTCAATTGGGCACGATCTTCTTTGAACTTAGGGTCGCTCATTCCTTCCTTTTGTGCTCTCTTGATCCAAAAGGCTTCCTGACGTGATATCTCTGTCGTCGTTAAGGGGCCCCAGATTTTGCTCGAAGGGTGTCGAGAATTGTGCATGAACCGCGAGACCGAAGCACAAATCCTCATGGCTCTACTCAAGCCGAACTTTTCAAGGATTAAGTAGAAGTCGTCTCTTACTTCCACTGCTCCAGCGAAAAGTTCTCGTTGAACCTTCAGCTCTCCTCGACTTTCAGGACTTGGTTGTGTGACAATGTTAGGGGGCCATTCTTGGGGATTGGCCAGCCAAGTAGGACCCTTCCACCACATCTCAGAATCAATCACACTTCCCCCTTGGCTGCCAATGTCCGCTGGATTGTCGGAGGTGGGTACGTGCCTCCAGGTAACATCAGGATGATTCTGTATCTTGCTAACGCGATTTGCCACAAATTGTCAATAATCACCTTGATTGTTTATCCAATGTAACGCCACTGTACTGTCCAACCAGCAGTGGATCATGGGGTCTATAGGAAGGCCAGCTAAGGAACGACGTACGTTTACAGCAAGATTCACAGCCATATGACCCGCGATGAGTTCAAGGCGTGGAATAGTGAGTCCCTGCTTCGCAACACGAGACTTGGCTGTCAAAAGACCTTGTGTTGTACCGGATCTTTGTGAAACCACTGCATACACTGAGGCACTGACTACCTTTCCACTAGCATCACCAAACGCGTTACGTCGTCCAGTGGCTCTTGGAATGTAGCCAGGGATTGTTGCATTGAAACAAAACTTGGCAGCTTGCTTTTGAACTTCATCCAAAGCTCTGTAACTTCAGTCGGTAGGGTAGCATCCCATGCAGTCTTTTGTTTGCAAGCTTCACGGTAGACCAACATGCCTTCTAACATGGTTGGCGATACTAACCCCAACAGATCATACACATTCGCTAATGCTGACAAGATCCCACGCTTTGTCATGTCACTCGATTTACTAGGGAAAATAACAGATAAGTGTCTTCTCTCTTGTTCCATGGAAGACCTAACAGCTTACTTTCCACGCCGCAAGCAAGTGGTCCCAGTTGTTTCGCAAATGACTCTTCACCGTCACTATGATTGTGATGCTCTAGCTCTTCCACGTTAGAGTTCCACTTGTGTAGATCAAACTGAGCGTCTTCGAAAATTTGGGATGTTTCACTTTTAAGCTTTTTTGCATCAGCAACAGTGGAGGCACCGGAAATGAAATCGTCAACATACATGCTCTTTGAGACTTCATCGACAACGTCTGGTAACTGATCACGCCACAGTTCCAAATGCTGTTTGATAACACCGTTCAGGAGGAAAGGAGAGGGTGATAACCCGAATAGTGCTCGAGTGAAACGTAGGGTAGCTACTTCGGTTGAGCCCAAATCCACCAACCAATGAAAACGTAGGGCATTGCGTTCTGATTCCCGGATTCTGATTTGAAGAAATGCTTGACATAGGTGACTGGATGTAGCCAATTTCTCACCAATACACTCCATAATTCGTTTTGGAGTGGAGGACCTGCATGTAGGCATTCGTTGAGGGATGATGCGTCAGGCCGAGCACGAGCTGACGCATCATAGACTATACGCAGTTTGGTGGTTTGGGAAGTCTCTTTCACAACAGAACGGTGAGGGATGTAGAACTCCTTGTCACTCGGAAGTTCAGGTGCAATCTCGACAATTCCGTTTGCTAACTGGTCTCCAATGATGCGGTCGTAGTCTTGTAACATATTGGATCGACGCAACTTGCGGGTTAATGAATTCAAGCGACGTATGCTTCCATCATAATTGTTTGGTAACTCAGGATGATTCCCCTTCCAAGGAAGAGCAGTCTCATACCATCCCTCGGACGATCTCGTGAGCTGTTCCTTAAATTCAGAATATACATCACCTTGGTCACCAGCAGGAGTATCTGGCAGACCTAGGACGTCTAACACACAAAGGCGTTCAAAATCTGTGGACGAGTTGACTGCCAAGTAGGCTTGAGACATACCACTGTTGGTTCCTG